GACCTTTAGATCAATGCTCATATATTACATATATATGTTTATGTGTATATATATATAGAAACACATATCTATTATAGGGAATATATATATATATATCATTATGTATAGTCATACACATGAGGGAAGGACAAAACAGACGTTAGTGCAGGATACCCTTTACAAGACACCGACCAAAACCTTCAGTCCCAAGTCTCACAAACATAAGTAACTAACTCAAAGAGGCTCCGAAGGTGGGATGAAGGCAGGTGGGTACATTTTAGAAAGGGACCCTTACACAATCCAACATGAGGGATCCTCAATCCCACCTACCTCTATCCCACCTTTGGAGTTGAAAAAAAAAACTTACATGCAGCTGCCGTGTAGCGAGCCCAGATCCAGATTGGAAAAACGTCGCACGGAGCGGTGAAGCTTGCGCATCCTTGGTTTGGGATGGTTTGGGGCTTAAGGATTCGGGCTTCGATTTAGTAGCTGTGTTGGTGCCTTTGGGGGTGTTGGGGAGTTTTGAGTTCTTTTTTTTATGGCTTTGGGTTGAGGCTTTAACGTGCCTGGAACTTAACATCGAGGGCTCCAGAGTTAGGTCTGGAGCTTCCCAAAGTTCTGGTCTTGGAATCTGGTTCCTGGGTGCAGACAGGTGCAGACCAAGGCGGATGAACACAGGGGCCTGAATGAGTAGCTAACGTGAAGGGCTAATCATTCAGACGCTTTCCGAAACACAATACCTTACATGCACCCACAAAACCAACAATTCTGGGGCTGCTAGCATGAAACCCTTATCGAATCCCTGAAATTCCTTAGAAGTCAGTCGGTTTGGGTTCCGGGTACACCTTAAACCTTACGTGCTGTCTTTTTCCTTCTCTCTTTTTCCCTCTCTCACAGGCACTCGAAAACCGAAGCTCTATTCCCCAAGCCTTAAGCGCTGGCCCCAGATCCATAATGTTTCGAAACCTAGTGGGGCTTGCTGTGATGTCGCGCTGCAGCAGTGAAAATTATGGTGCTTTGCGAAAAGAACAATGGCCCGATTGTGTTGTAGTGAGCCCCATCCCACATATACTCCGCCTCCACGCCGTTCAAGGCGGCCAAACCACCCAAACCAAGTGGCAAATTTTAACAACAAATCACATGCTTGTGCGACCTCCGCGGGCCTCTTGCGGCTTGTGGCGGCTCTGAGGCTCTGTGGCGGCTCTGAGGCTCTGAGGGACATCTAATGCTCCGAGACTGCCTGGTTGCTTGGTGAAAGCTCTTGAAGGGCCCCGGATTTTGGGGTGTTCGGAACGCCTCAGACGTCTGGCACCTTTTGAGGACTTTGCGGGTCTTTTTCATTGGCTTCATGGATTTTGCTGTGTTACGGGACCAATGCTGGCGCTGCCATCTCCGGGTTAGCGTGCAGGGTCGACTTGAGCCATCGAGATCGAGGGGGAAGCGAGGCGGCCAAAACATTGAAATTAAAGTCTGTAAGGGCTCGATGCTTGAGCATTAATCATGACATCGCACGGCAGCGGCGCACTGAGAATTTTCTTTGAAGACGTACCATTACGACCATCTCTGCTGATATTTGGGTCGGTGCAAGGGAGATTCCCCGAACCTTCATGGTTTTTCAGCGCTGCCAATCGCACGGCTATGGTCCCCGACTTGTCCTCATCTCTACCTCGGCCATCAGATTACGCAGATCCTGCTTGTACGGCACCCAAGATAGCCCGCCTTCCGGATCCTTCCGAACACATGGCTGGACGATGGGCTCGCCATTGGCTCGCTGTCGTAATTTAGTCTCGCCCATTCATGAGGACCTTGACACTCAAGTGCGATGGATTTTGGGGACCATACAGGGTCGAGTTCGTGATACAACATCATTACATCCCCGCCAGCCCCATGCATTCTTGTTGCAGCCGGGCCTGTGCTCCATCCAAAAAATTCCTCCGGCAGCTCCGGCTTCAACGCGCTCGCACGTCTCTGCGGATGTGCTCCTCATTCTGAGCATCTTGATAACAATCAACCAAAAAGATTCTCGGCGAAATTCGTCGGCCTGGATCCGTCTCGCCATGTTGAACTAGATACTGTTGATGCGCTCGCGTTCCATCTGAATTATGCATTGATGCGTTCATATTTGTGACGATCTGCGTTCACCCCGCTTCAGAATGAAGTTTGGGCTTCATTCAACATCTGTTCCATGTAATCGAGCGAGTCGTTCTCGAGTTGTGAGCTAATGGCAGTCTCAAGATTTGTTGGTCGGCATTGCACGTTGATCAGGTTGCTGTACTTCTCACCATGGCACATTCATCACCTAGAGATTTTTCAGCCATGCTGACGAACAAATTTGACACTTCCTGTCTCCGCTGGTAGAGTTGATGTTGAAGTTCCTCCATCTCGAAGTGTCCATGTTTGATTTCCTGGTAGCACGTTATTGCAGACTGCTCTTTTGCTTGCACAAATGACTATGTCCTTCCCGGTCTTTTTAATCAATAGAATTGATGCAAGCAGCCAGTGCGCCGCTCGTGCTCCAGACGCAATGGTCCCTTCATCCTCTTGTGCCATGCTGACACTCCGACTTTGAGAAAAACTCACCGTGTTCTTACAGTTTGTATCATCTGGTGTCATGCCAATCACCTGGGGATTGGGATCATCGTGCTGAATCGGCGCACTTGAAGATTGCGATGTGAGCTGCAACGACCTTTGTCCACGTTGGTCGCCCCTAAAATTTTAAGATGGACTAGCCCTTCTCGCGATGTTTTGCATAAATATCTGTCTGTCCATGTCCATGATAGCTTGAAAGGAGGATCGTGGCGAAGTTGATCGCTGCTTTCTTGTCGCATGGTAGCAGGAATCTTTTGCTGTCCCCTGATCATCATCTTCGGCTTCATGGTAGATAGTGCGCTCTTTGACCCCGGTGGAGTCCCAGGATTGGATCAGATCTTTGACGGTGGTGAGCGAGATGTCGACCTTGGCAGTGGCGCATTCGCTTGAGCGCCTTCGTGCTCAGGCTTACTGCATGCTCTCGGCTGAATTGTCATTAACGGTCATTAACGAATGCATCCGTAGATCGTCAACTGCAGGCAAGTGAAAGCGGCTCCTGAAAACGATGCGTCCGCACTCGCAGTGTCCGACTTGCGCAAGACGCCGGGAGAAATGTATGTAGTACTGTAGCAGATCGACAGATCCGGAAAGAGCATACGGGATCCGGAAAGAGCATACGGCTGATAACTGCATGGGGGTGTGTGCCTTATCGGAATCTATCGGACGGGGTTGATTCACTCGCCGCACGGTCCAAAATCAAGCTTGCACCAGCGCAACAAGTTCTCTTCCCTCTGCAGTGCAAGATTAGGGCTGCGTACCTCGTGCAGGTCAGCTTTTAGTTACTTAGCGACTTGTCGTAGTGAATTAAGTAGACGCAGATTTTTCTTGACCTACGTGTCCTGGGCAAGAGTCTTGAGCCAACCGAGAAAGCAGGATTATGTTGACAGTTGGTTCTGGTAGCTACCCCGTACAAGATGCAGTCACCTAACCGGAGAATCGGATCCATGGTCCAATCCCCGAACCCTAAACAGTTCAGCCCGTAGCTTACGGTCACCGGATGCTGAGCTGCAGGCTCTTCGAGCACCTGATGCAGCGGGCCAGGGGTAGATTCCAAGGGTTCCCTCACGGGAGTCTCTCCGGGTTTTATGCTCTCACAACTCGGGCATATCAGGGTTTAGGGGAGTAGGCCACAAGGCCTGCTTTTCGGGGGATGAGAAACCGGTTTAAGGCTAATTGAGGGGCCCCACACATGTAGGTCTTCGGGGTTACAGATATAGGCTTTAGGATTCAGGGGTTTTACGCCTCTTCTCAGTTTGCTGTGACTGGAAGGATTTTTTTGTACTGAGAACTTTGACAATGCCAACCATTGTTTATAACAGTGATGACGCAAAGAAGTGCTGCAGGTTAGAGGCATAATGCAGTACTGACAATATGGATGCTGATGAATACTACCTTTACTGCTCTCATCCAGCTGCACATGATCAGTTTTGAGAACAACATGAACACGTCTCATTGTACCGGTCATCATCGCTCTCTGTAAACCTGAACCCGGAGAACCCTGAAGCTACTGTAATACACCCAACATCCCAAATGGACACGATTCCTCAATACGGGCTTTAGGTCATAAAGGCATATAACTCAAATGTCAGGCCTACCGCTCGAGGAGGGGAGGTCCGCAAATCACAGCGAGGCGTTGCTTGCACTGGCCCCCAAGCCCCCTAAGCCACACCACGCCCCACGGCACTCAGCCCAAGCAGATCAGGATACCGGACCACCCCGGAACCGGGTGCGACTCCTCCGCCCCGCAGGGCCGAGATGCTTGGAAGGTTTCCGGTGTCGAGCCCTGCCGCAGCAAGGACTGGGTAACTGGGTAGCGATGCTGTTCGGTGGCCTCGGCGGAGCACCTGAGCCTCCCGAAGTCATCAGGACCGAAACAATCAGAAACGCAGCAGTTGCTGCAGTCACTGCGCGTCGTTAAGAAATCCTATGCACGAACTGCGCCTTAGAAGGGAGGCCGCAGCTCCGAGCACACACGGGCAACATCCTGTCAGCACTCCACCAGGAGGCAGAAGACGGAGGCACCGGTTCGCTAGTCAAGCATTACAAGCATGCAGGGTGTCTGGGCGTCTGCCGCGCCCGGCGAAATCTCCACCGAGCACGCCTTCCTGCTACGAGTACGTTGGCGGCTCCCGAGCCGTGACTGCTTCGAGCAGGGTCGATCGGGTGCCTGCCGATACGGCCTCATCCCACCACAGCAGCGAGAGCCATAAGAGCTGCAGTTCAACTGGTGCCGCAACCGGGGGCCGCCTCCGGCAAGTCCTCCTACAGCCCGCAACCCTAAAGCACCTGAAGTCAAAAACACACAAACCCTAAAGCCCCTGCAGCACACAAGGCTCGAAGCAAACAAACCTAAATCCGTTTGGTGGTAAAACACCTATATACAACCCTGAAAGCCATCCCTCCAGACCCCCAAATGCCAAATCATCCCAAACTACACCCGGAACCTTGACCCGTCTCCGACAAGAAAGAAGAGACCCAATTTCAACCCACCTGGGAGCATTCTTCGAAGCTGCGGTCAGCGCGGTGGCGCTGAGACCTTTTACTGAGACTTGGGGGCAGTACAGGGACGCCTTGCAGGATTGTGGGTGCAGGGTGCAGGAGTTTGGGCCGACAGCAGTTCCTCTTTGCGGAGAAATGTGAATTGGATTTCTCAGCATACATGCATGGCGGCTTGTTATGCGCACACCAGTCCCAGCGACTCCAAAACCGCCTTCTTAAATACAAAGTGTGTCATATGCCTTTTCACGGCGCAAGTGGCCTGCAGAGCCGCTGTTACACGGCCCATGATAAGCAAACCTTTTCGGTTCGCCCAAGATTCGGGGTCCTTAGTGGCCTTGCTTAGGGGGCAAGCGATGAAATTCGATCTGGTTCGGGGATCACGACAATAGTGCTGCTGTGATGGACAGGCAATAACTACAAATTACCTTACGCACCCCAGGCACATCAGGGAATTATGGAAAATCCCGAAACACGAAACCGCAACACTCTTCAAGGATGCGCAAATTCGAGCTCAAAGCATGAAACAACCCAAGACCCTCTTTCTGAGGGCTCTAGTCAGACTCGAGTAGGGATTTGAATCGTCTTGGGTTGAAACCCATCCAAATGCTGACGCGCAAAGGGTTGTAGAGCTTCACCCAAACAACCAAAAGAACGCTAGGGCTCGGGCTAAGCTTACTCACTCACTCGCTGGGAAGTGGGTCTTGCAGGCCGAAAAGCGTCGGGCCAAACCGTAAATCCGAAAAACCGAACCCTAAGCCCGAAAACCCAAACTTTGAAGGTCCAAGACCTCAGTTCCTGGGCCGTGCACTTTGTCAGAGCCGAGCCGTAGACATAGGAGTTCCTTGGCAGCAAGGCATCACATCTTACGGGGGCTGTGGGTGCTTTTATACGATGTCCTGGGCTTGCGGCATATGGCAATACAGGCCCTGATTAGTCGTAATATGCAGCGGAGCTACATAGCGAAGATTCGGTTCTCAAGGCTACGACACAGGAAAACGCAGCGCAGTTGCAAAGGAACTCACAGCTCCGATGCTATGTTCACGCGTGCAAGCTATCTGATGCCTCAGGTTCAACCTACCAACGTGCTGTTTAAACAGGCCTGTTCCCTGCCCGAACCTGAGGGCCCAGGGAGTCACCACTGAGGTAAAGTGTACTGTACCTGTAGCATAATATGAGTATGAATTTAAAAAAAGGGTTCCCGCGAAGAGTCTTCGAGGTACATTACAACCAACCCACTGTACCTCCAAGGGCCCGACTAAAAACCGAAAAGGCAAAAGCGCTAAAGGCTTTTTCTCTGACAGCCATACGGTACCCTGCTCAAATCCTAACGCCGGAGGCCTACAAAACCGTGAGCTCTCTTCCCTAGACCTGGAAGCACTGCTGGCCAAATCCTCAATTCTAAACCCCTGCCCTAAACCCTAAAGCTACCATTTCCCTCAAGCCTTCACCCTCTCACCTGTCACGGTGTATAGGGTTTGTATGTCAATCAAATTATGCCTGTGTAGATCCCAAAGCAGTGAAGGCACCGACGACGACCTTGACCACCACGACCACGAAAGATCAAGACGACCGCGACCACCACGGCCACCGGACCCCACGACGACGAGGAGACCACGGTCAAAAAGCTTCCTCCAATGTACTGGGACAAGCTGCACCTGACCACAATAGTTATTTGGGAGCAAATTTCCCGCCTGGAGGGCTTTGCGCGCACTCACACACACAAGCAAACACACGCACAAACAAACACGCACACACACACACACACAAACACACACACACACACAAACACACACACACAGACGGACAGACACACAGACAGACACACAGACAGACACGCGGACAGACACACAGACAGACAGACACGCAGACAGACACGCAGACAGACACGCAGACAGACACGCAGACAGACACGCACGCAGACAGACACGCATAGACACGCACGCAAACAGACACGCATGCAGACAGACACGCAGACAGACAGACACGCAGACAGACAGACAAACACGCAGACAGACAGACATGCAGACAGACAGACACGCAGACAGACAGACATAAAGACAGACAGACAGACAGACAGACACGCAGACAGACAGACACAAAAAGACACACAGACACAAAAAGACACACAG